AGCAAAAATATTTCCAACAATAAAATCAACTGGTACTGCCCCCCCCCCCGAAAAATCTGAAGTGGGGGGGGGGGATTTCTGAAATAATCACTGCTCCACAGCATGTCTGGTTAAAGAATGACGTCTGATGTTGTACTCCTTGTGCATCACAACTTTCTCGGAGCATATAAGTCAGGTTGAAAAAACTTCCGGGCCGCATTAGCACTAAACTTTTTCTGTCAGGTGTCAGGCCGCTAAATATCGTCTTGCGGGCCTCAAATGACCGGCGGGCCATGAGTTTGAGACCCTTGATTTATAGGGTTACATAGATTTTTTAGTTGAAACTGGTCGTAAGTAGACAAAAAAGACTTGCCTTACTTATATTTGTCTTGTTACCTGGGAAGACTCTAAGGCGAAACGTCCAAATCGTATTGTCCTTTCTATTAACTCAAGCACAATAGATGAATAGATAGCACAATTCAAACTAGTCTATTTTTATATTATCTACAATATTAATTTTATTTTATTAGTCACGAATATTGATTTTCAGCTATCCTTAAATTTTATATAATTTAAAGATTATACATGAATTTTAAAATCTTAGATATTACCAATTTTATTTGTTTGAGATTCCTTATATTGAATTTTTATATCTTAGTCTTAACCTTTCTCCGTTTTTTTAAACACTCAAAACATTTACATTGTCCGCCACTGAGTTCATTCATATATATCGTACTTGATTGATTTTTCCATTAGTTAAGATAAAGCCCTGTTTGGGGTTGGACTGGTTGTAACACGCCAATAATATATCGCATGTGATTGTGACATGATGATGCACACTCCAGGTGTACACTGTTCCTAAAAGCTCTTTTTATATCTTTGTGTTGGGTTGTTTTGTTGTTTGTTGTTTTTTTTGTTGTGGGAGGTAAATTCAAAGTCCGCCACTCCACTACTGGTTTTGATTTTTTTTTTTAAAGATAAAACTATCATTATAATTATAATAATGTTGAATTCCATTACTTTGATTATTAATATTATTATATTCGCCAAGTATGTACTGATCTCGGTAATGAGAGTAACCCCGGACCGGAACAGTGAACGAAAGATGCTTGTATTTTGAAAATTTATTTGTGTGGTGTGTATTATACTATTATTATACAGTATACAGACTTAAATTTGAGACTAAAGCACATTTCAGCACAGAAATTCTCGTAAGGAAAAAAAAATAAAATGAAAGAAGCAACCATTGACTCTACGTACACCATACCATGTTCACACACCGTTCACTGTGTAGAATTTTCTCCATTTGAATGGTCATGTCAGCTTCTTGCCGTTGGAACGTCCTCAGGCATTTCTGTTTTTTCCTGTCGTTTTCAGGTGAAGTAGGCCTTACTTATTGATTCTTACTAAACTTGCTTCTACTTCTATACTCTAGTATAAGCAATATCCTAACTAATTTATAATGAGATAACATTAGCTGATGTATGATATATTAATATTATTAAGCTTCTACTTCTACCTTGAAGTAATGAATGCTAATCATTAATCATTATCATTATTAACTAATTAATTAATTGAATTTACTCCATTAAACTATAGATTATCCCTATGCCTATAGTCATATTCATTATTCATGTAGTCTTGGTAACATTACAGGTCCTTAAGTTATATTTTATATAGGCTAAGGCTAAGTTAGGGGTAATCCCTTATTTTAACACAAAATATTATTTCTAGAAAAATAAATTCAAAAATTCATTTTTGCCTCATTGAACTTCATTAAAAGTATTGTTTAAAAGTAAAATACCATCTTTTTGTTGGAATTCAACAATTTAACCAAATTTACGAGATCAAATAATGTGCATTTTCATGAATCTATGTCTTTTACTGCGCCATTATGGTCGGGAACTCTTCTGTGTTCAAAGATACGTTATAAAAGTTGCCCAATTGGATTGATCTAGATTAAAATAAAAAGTTGTATTTATTTTATTACTTTATTTTATAATGTCTAGGTGTCAGATATTTCTTTCTAAACCAGTGGTGGGTTTTAGACAAATTTAAATATTTAAGTATATCATGCTCTAGGCATCTTGAATATCTGTAGGGTCATCGGTGGAGGGCCGTTTAAAGGTAATACTCGCAAGGGGCAGCAATATCAATGGACGCATTTTCTATACACTAGGGGCTGTAGTTACAGTCTTTGCCCAGGGCGCGCTTTTCCTTTGCCCGGTCCTGCATCCATTACTGACTTAACGCGCCTCGATTTTAGTGTGAGGGGTGGGGGTTATGTGGGACAATGTTTGTTAACATTTTAAAATGTCAATTTTTTAAAAATTTGTGAGGATTTCTTTGTCAATACATAGTTGGGGATTTACAAAGGGGCGGGGGAGTAATAAAATAAATGACTATAGCGAAGTCAACACCGGAACAGACAGATTATCAGATTACTAATAAAGCAAAACGTGTCCGTCCAATTATATAAAATCACTAACGCTGTCGAACACATTTTACTCATCACAAATCAGAGTCAACTTAGGTGTCATCTAAATAAATAAGTCCCTCCTATCGAAATAGAGGTGACCAACCACAGACCATTTAACATTTTATTTGCCTACTATGAGATGACTCTCAACTGCCAAGAAAACGTCATTCCATTTGCGTAGGAAGTGGGCTGTGAAGGGGCGGTCCACCACATGCTGCGTTTTCTGCCAAGTGAAGAGTTTTTGGTGTTTTTATTTTTTTTGATTTAGTGGTAGAGGGCGGCACAACTCTAGACCAGCACCTCACTCAGACACTACAGCATTCCTCTTCATTCCTAGCTGTTATTACAGTACTAGAAGATCACGTGCACCAGCAATGTCTCTAGCTAACACCTCATTACATAATCCCTGGTTCACTCTTTACGGGGATATGCAACACATCAACCAACGCTTGGACCTTCGTCGCTCTCTGATGTTGGTGGAATTCTATTACATAGCTGAATCTCTCTATGCATCTTTTGCGCTGGCGCTGTTTCTCCGGTCAGCTGATTACCGAAGTCATTCTTTGATACGTTGATGTAATAGATAAGTGAGAGACATAGTGGGAGCGACATGGTCTCCACGGCCTTGCAATGTTTCTGTTAAGAAAGGCGAGGGGTTCAACGCGTACCGGTTTAAGGTTTTGGCAGATTTCTGATCGTTAATGCTGCATAACCTGGATGGCGTGCATCTGGACAAAGGAACGCAGGACAAGTAAACCCACGGAAACTCACCATAAGACATTTGAACACAGGACAAGTGAGCCAATGGACAAGTGATCTCGCAGAAAATTGAATACCCTCATAATTCTTTTTTTCATTTTAGACCCATCCTCTGAGATGGAAACCGGTTTGACAAATTTTTCTTGAACTGTCCAGTTTTTCTCGATTTTTGGCATACTTAGGAGTCGATCGATCAGTTAGTTAACTATTCAGCCAATGCGTGACCAGATTTTTTCACTATTTCCCAGTCCCAGGCCACAAGCAAAATTCACACGATGAAAGTAAGGTAAAAAAAGATGCTGAAGTCAGACTCAGAGGCGTCAGCTGACAGTGGGGTCATACAATGAAGTATTAATTGATGGTGTAACCTCAGCCCCCCCCCTCCCCCCCTCTCCCCCCCCTCTCCGACTCACATAAATTTTGTACTTGGAAAAGGGTATTTTTAAAAAAAAAAGGTTTTATTATGATATACCTTCAGTGTTTCTTCTCTTTTCTAATGGATTTAATTTCAAATTTTCACAATCTTTGGCCGGTTGTTGTATTAGGACAATGATACTTGGCTCTTTGCCCCTTTCCCTCAGTGCATTTAGAATATACCAGACCTGTGTACTCTTACGTGTACAGTGTACAATTTTTAGTTGTATACATAATATATATTGTATGTTTATTTTGGTACTATTAAGATAATGTATTGAACAATTTTGTGATGATATTGTAAGATTTTAATAGTTTGTGGGTAAACAGGTATGATATACGAATGCAGCCTTGTGGGGAGGGGAGACTAGAAATTTACGAGAAATCCAGCAAACAGTTCCCAGACAACTGAACACAGGTGAAGTTATCATACGTATAAATGAGCACACAGACAACTTTACCTATAGCAGACCTGTTTACCCTCAAACTCTTAAAATCGTACAATATAATCACAAAATCGTTTACTACCTTATAGTAAAAAATAAACATACATTATATTAAATGTTTACACCTCATAATCGTACATTGTACGCCAAAATCGTAAGAGTAAACAGGTCTGCTATAGCCTCCTTTACCCAATGGCAAAGTCCCATGGCCAAGTTCAAACTCTTGTCTACCTGTTTTGGGGGCACATGGGCAGCCGGAACCGAGCATCGGAAAAGACCACTGATGATATCAGACAATACACATTACCAGAAATGGGGCATCATCCTAGTTCATGTTAGGAAGCCAAAAATTCGTAAAAGTCCCAAATCGTGTCATCCTGACTTTGGGAGCTTCCCATTTTCATCGGAGTTGATGCCAGTGCATGCCAAACCTAAATTCCAGAAAAACTGGAAAATTCAGGAAAAATTCATAAAACCAGTTTCTATCTCCCAGGGTGGGTCTGAAAATGCACAAAATCATATACATTTTTAAAGGTCAAATTTTCCATAATTCGATCCACCATCTTTGAAAACTCAGGTTGCCAAATTGAGTCGCGGAACCCTTTACAGTTGGGTCATGACCAATGTTTATGTGTGTGAGCATTTTAGGTTTTTCTTACCCTCAGTTGTCTGTGTGTTGACTTTGCTGTGTGTACACTTGTCTGTTGGTTCATTTGTTCGCGCCTACCTAAACCAAAACATGTCACTGTTTCTTCATTATGTAATATATCAAAGAATAACTTTGACCAAGGAAATGTTATGAACTCACCAGGTCGGGGAAAAGTTATGAGCTGACCAGGGATCATGTTATGAGGTGTAAACCAGAGACATGGCGGGTGCACTTGATCATGATATACTGTAACGGCAAGGGATGACTGAGCTCAGGTTGAGGCCAAAAAGCCTTTGACAGACAAATACCATCGGCGGGCCAGATGAACTGGCCTCGCGGGCTGTAGTTTAGTGACGCCTGAGCTAGATTAAGTTAATTAATTAGATTAAGGCTAGATCTGTTTATTTCTTCTTTTTTTTTTAGGAAGAAGATGCAGAAATTTCAAAGGGTATTGAGTATACAAGATTGAGGGACTTTTCAACAAAATCAAGCACTTTGGCCATTGCTTGGAGTCCACAAACATCTCTAAAAGTTTTACCTAAAAACATGAGGTAGCCTTTATTCATTTAGTTTCACTTGGCCTAGAAACTATAAGCCATTGTTTTTAAAAGCTGTTTTTCAATGTCTATCAAAAAAAACTATCAAGTGCTAAATTCAGTTCTGCCATTTTTTCACTGTTTAAGGAAAATGTAATTGAATCTTTTAATAACTTTTGGCATGTCATGCCCATTAAAAAATAGAATTCATGTAATACATCACTATCTAGTATTTTCTTTTTGCCGTTTAGTTTTGCAGCAGCAACTGATGATAGAACACTCACAGTTTTTTCAACAGATATGAATACTTCAAACACTATTACAGTGAGTAGCCCACCCTTTTTTTGATGACATAGTTTTAAAAAATAGAAATATTATGTTTAGGTTCATCCATTCAGTAAAAATTTCATGATCATTTATTAATGTTATTTTAAAAAATTCTAACCCTCTAAACCTTTTTAAATAAGCTGAAGCAAGTTTAGGAAATAGTGGGAAAAAATACAAATTAAAAAACGTTTAAACAATTTTAATGACATAATTTTAAGTAAAAATAATGTATTTAATGATCTTGACATTATTTTTGCGAATAGATTATCTGTTTTATTGAATTTCAATCCTTTTAGGTTATAGACACTTAACGCGCAGCATTAAACCGTACACTGCTTTATGGTTAGTGAAAAGTGAAGTCGGGGGATGTGGAACAGGCCATATCTGCTTTTGTTATTTTTCAGGAAAATTAGTTGCTTAGCATCATTTCTAAAAATAGATGAACCTTCAACACTTAATTTTTCAGATGAATAAAGACTATGAGAATGATAAATATACATATGGTATTTCATTATTTATGTATTCAGGCATTTTTATATAGCGCTTACCTTAAAGCTCTAAGCGCTTTACAATTATTAAAAACATGTAAACTAAGTAAAATAAAAATGAGACACTAGGATAGTAACTACTATACTATAGAAATAATTAAAATGGCTATAAAACGAGGACACTTTGGCACGTTTTGGCCTATACTAAAGGATCATTACAGTTTAACGCAGTCTTAGAACATTTTATCAGCAGTGGGTGTTAGCTTATGATTTTGCACTCAGTCTCAGTATCAGCAGTGAATAATGTCACATTTACCTAATAGATCTACTAGAACTTATGTGCCTGCGAGACTGATTTTTTAATGTAGCTAATTACTTAATTGATTTGCAAATGGCCCCTGAATTTCACTATAGTGGAAACTCTGTCAGTCTTAGTGCTGGTAAAGGGTTTGTTAAATAATTTGTGTAATTTTCACTTGAAAATGTTAAATAATATTAAGTTTGGCTATCATTTTGTGCAACTTACAAGAGTTACTGTTATAGAGAGCTTGTTTACATAATATTTCTCGTGCGTGCCTTCTGATTGACCCCGCATGAGACGCTGTGTTCACAAAGGGGTGTGGCTTAGGCCTTTGAAGTATTATCGTTTACACCGCCAACCACTAAAAATAATGAATCTGTTCCAAATAGTATTTTGTAGAATAAATGGGATTTTTCTAGAAATGCTGTGTAGCAGCTCGAAAGCAGGACTTGGGCGTTGGTAGACCCACCTATATAAGGGATTGACAGGCACGGACGAAGAGGGAGATTTCAGATAGATTTTCTTAACATTACGAGGCGTGTTTTATTCTTTGTGTATTTGTATGCTCATATGTGTTTATTTCGGTAATAAATAACCGTGTAATAAGATTGACACAATTGACACATCCGGTACAAGATCTACCATACTGTAAGTTGAAGATTGTAATTATATTTTTCTTTTCTTTTGTAATTATCTTAAGACATAATAAATTTTAATTAATTGTAACTAGAAACTGTTTTGGGTCGTATCTTTAATATTGTTGATTCTATGGTATCGTCCTTTGTTAGGCACTGCTTACAACGAGCCAATTAAAATTAAAATAGGAGATTAATTTCTCCCAATACAAGTCAGTGCGTAACAGTTACATGTTTTTTTATGTGTGTAATTACTAAACATTCAAAATTATATACTTTTATGTTTTTTGATGTAAACATTCAAAAATATATACTATTATGTTTTTTGTATACTGAGGAAAACTTTCAAGCATTTGTCATTACAAAAATAGATTCTCTCAGGACATAAAGGATTTGTGAATTCCATCACTTATGAACCAGATGAAGGCACGAGATTGGCAAGTACAGGAGATGATATGACTTGCCGCATTTGGACTCTCACAGAAGCAAAGCAAGAATCCATCTTTCAACTTACATCACCTGGTGTATCAGTCTGTTGGCACTCAGATGAGCAATACAAGGTATTACAAGCAAAAAGAAGAGAATTGGACCGATTTTTAAATGATTTTTAAAGCTGTCTGCTTAAATACATATGAGGTTTTAACTTATCATTGATAATGTGGCTTTAATTTGAAATGATAATACCACTAATAATAATTGAAAAGCAATACAAAATATGAGCAGAAAAATAATGATAGTGATTAATGGAGGAGGAATTGTTGAGCAGTCACTTCACTACCAGAAATGTTAAATCAGTTTTAGTATCACTTTGGGGAAGTACTCAAGGCAGTTGTTTCTTTGTTGGTCTTTGGAATCAGCTTTATTAAATTATCGATCAGATTTATTTATAGAGCTGACAGTCTCAAACTTGCTCCACATCAATAAAAATAATTCCCTAGCTCATCTTGTCTGCCCTAAGGGAGTAAAGGAATGAAATATTTGTAGCAGTGATTGAACTCTCCCTTGAAATTTGGCTTTAGAGCTGGAAAAGTGACTTGTGGTTGCTCTACATTTCTTACTTAGGGGTTTTTAGGTTGCTCTGACTGATTGATATAGAATGCTTATTGGAAGGGTTTTGAATTGTCATTGGATTATAGGTTTGATGGTCTTTGATTTTTGTACGCTCGTTGACAACTTCAAAGGCATCAAAAACAGCATCAGTACCCGTCAATACCTACTCTATATTATAGAGTCAATGCAACTAAAGCATGGAGTGCCATCTGGAATTATTATTTTAGATCAGTGGTACTTAACCTGGGTTCGATCGAACCCCAGGGCTTCGGTGAGTCAGTCTCAGGGGTTCGGCAGAGGTCCAAAAAAAAAATCATTTTTCCTATTAAGAAGGGTTCTGTGAATGCGCATATGAAACTGGTGGGGTTCAGTACCTCCAAAAAGGTTAAGAACCACTGTTTTAGAGTATGCACCTCTTCCCGTAATCTACATGGGCAATGTCATTGTGTTCCACAGCTAGCACGTAATAAAGATGGATTCTGCTTGCTTGCACACAAATATTTTGTCTTTTTATTACAACTCTTTCATGACTCTTGTATTAATAATCATGTTCATAAAAGTAACAGAAATATTTGACCAGTGTATTGTTACAAAAAACGTATATTTAGTAAATTTATTTTTAATATCCTTGGTACATTTGTGCCATCATTATTTGATTGATTTAAATTTTATCAGTTGATGGTAGCACAGAAAGATGGGACCATTCGATTTTTTTCCCTGCATAACAATCAGCCAATCATGAGCTTAAGCTGTGGTCAAACACCTCTGTTGTCAGCTGATTGGTCAAGACATAACAACCTCCTTGTTGGGGCTGTGGCTGGCTCAGACTGGATGGTGTTTGATGTTTCTCGTTCAAGGTATTTTGGAATTTATTATAAAGATAATAATCAACAAGGTCATCTCTCACAAAGAAAGCAATTTTTATTGTCTTATTGAATTTAATTAATTATTTGAAAATTACCAAGAACTTCCTGTTTGCAGCATTCCCATTGAAAAGCGACAAGCTCACAGTGAGGGTGCAAGACATTTTAAATGGTCTAGATGTCATGAATCTCTATTGGCAACCTGTGGACGACCTGGGCGACAGTTGAAAGTTTTCAACACAAGGCACCAACAGGTTAGCTGTTGTCTTAATTATTGCATATTTTATTATAACAATTTAATAGTTACCAACTGGAATTAGATTAACTGTGCTCAGTAAGTACATACAGAAATATTGGAATTCATACCAAATGAATATAAAAATTCTTAAAGGTTAGTGAAAATTAACTTAGCTGGCATGATGCTAATATATTACTTTTCATTTCATTGTGATAGCTCCATGTGAACACAACTCTAAAAGTATCCTATGGTCTTACTTGGCACCTGCACCTTCCCATAGTAGCTGTTGGTGGAGACAAAGCTGTTCATTTCTGGACTGTTGAATCAATATAACATTTTCTTGCTCTGTATAGTATAATCTTTTAAATTTTGTTTTGTTCTTTGTAGTATCATGTAATTTCACACTTTGAAGTATTCTGATGTTGAAAATAAATATTTTGTAGCCAATATAAATTTAGTTGTTCAATTTTTTGTCTGTGTGTCAAAGCTATTTCCTTTTCTACATGCACTGGTGCACAAAATCTCAACGGATCCCGTATCCTCAATGCTAACATAACAGAGTAAAAACTTTAAGAAATGGATGTTGAGACAAAATTTTGGAAAGAAAAATTAGCTCATGTCAAGGAATTTGCAGTAATACAATACAATAATAATCCTCATATTGAACTTTTTAAAGGAAACAGACAACTTCTTAAGGAATTACTAGAACAAACCCCCTGAAATCTCCATCTTAAAAAAAATGATATTCTGAAAAAAGGTAGTTAGGTCAAGTTTAGCTTTATGCAAATAGCTAATGAAATCCCACTTAAAAGTAGATTGTTAAAAAAAAGATAAGTGTACTTGGTTAGTTTATGAAAAACTTGTTTTCTTGAATTAATATCCTATTACAGGAAGGTCTGTAGGTAGTGATACTTTTACTGTAGTAGTCGGTCTATTTCAACTTATTTCCTGATGCACAAACTTGGCTTTTGGGGAATACTTCTAGAACAATTGGGGACAATTTTCATAATTGAAGTTGCCTGGCTACTCTTTAACTGTTAGTATATATCTCTGTGTCCTATTATTGCCACTGCTCAATATCTGATTTGAAGGCAATAAAATAAAATTTGAAATAGAAATAGCGTGTCAATTATGAGATGGCCGTTTTTTATTTCCCATGCCTGTGATGTGTTTAATTTTGTTGGGCTGCCCCAATAGTTCCTAGAATTTAGGTTTTCACCTCGGGTATTATATCAAATTCTACAAATACACTTCTTCAAGAAAGTGATTACATTTTTATTAAGGGGTTTTCGCATGGCCCTGCCCAATGATTGGCAATGTTGCACCCCAGGGTGACACAGTGTATATTTTGGGAAAACTGGGCTCACCAAGCAGCAGTGAAAACCCATGACACATTTTTTAATGTGACATTGTGTATCGATAATTGTTTCCTAAAAAAATCTGACTTTTTTAACATGTACTATATGGATATAACTAACTGGTATAAAGATTCAAGTACACTGGGACACATTAATTGAAAATCTGCTGCTGCAAACTGAGACAATTCCTTTTCCTAACTCCCAACTCTAATGGCTAATGGGAAAGTCTTCGGTTTTCAAAAATGCTCAGAACTCAAATACCTATCCACATAAATAGGGATACTTGGAGGATAGCTCCACAGCCTCCTTACTTTTTCCAGCAACACAGACACCACCAATAAGTCTTTTCTTGATTCCCCTCCAGGTCTTCCATTTGTTCCCTGCGCAACACTTGTCTGAAGTTGTGTACGTAAACTACGTAGCCACCAAACAGGGCAGTTGCTGACACCAAAACTTTAACTGAAAGCTCCCAGAACAAAGCAGCTATCCCATCAAAACTGCCTGCCTGGAAGGCCATTGCATTCTGCAAACACTTTTCCACCATACTTTATATCTTTCAGCCTTAATGCTAATGCTCTTTAACAGATAAACCAATTTTGTTAATCCAATAAATTAACTATACTTTTATAGTTAAGAAGCAACATTTTTGATAATCTGTGACTCGCAAGCAACATCATGGGAGATGGAAAAGTAAATGCATTCCTCCATGTAACGGTTTAAGCAAAAGATTATCATTTTTTAAAGTTAAATGCCTTTCTGTTATCTTCATCAAAGTCATTTGTTATCCATTGTTCTTAAAATACTTGACTAGCTATTTTTGTGTACTATGAAGTAAAAATACATTTACTAAGAATTCCATATTCAAAGATATTTATTTATATTCCATTTGTGTCAAGTGTGTACACAATTTTCATATGGTAATGTACTAAAGAGTAAAATGCTTAAGTGGAATGAAAGGCTTTATACAAGATATTCACTGGCATAAATAAAGTTTAAAAAAAAATATTAACACAGATATCGTAGGCTGGGTTAAAAAAAAAAAGCTAACAGTTTTTAAATAGCATATTTAGAAATGCTTGTAGCTACTAATACTGTTTAAATTTAGTAAAGAAAAGTTACAAGTTTAAGAAAAAACATCCAGTCAACTATAAGCCGCCCACATGTTTAATATACACTTAAATTACAGTTATGCCATGCACCTTGTTTTGCCGACATCTTTGGGAGTGAAATATCTGTGTTACACTTAAGGGGAATGTACATCGTTTCAATCCAATTCTAATTATTTTTTCAAAATGTAGTTAAGGTGGATAGCAAACAGTAAAAATGATGTAACTGTGTTCTCTGCAGATTTTCATCATTCAAGTTTTATTTAAGGAGACTCTGTCCAAAGACTCTGTGCACACATTTCTCTCACAATGCATTTTCATGTTCAAAAAAATTATTTACATTCAGCACATTATAATGTTGATTTATAGGTTTATCTAAACCTAAACCCTTCCAAAGAAACAGGAAGTATGATAACGAGCAGAGGATTTAATAAAACATAGTCTTAATCTAAGCTCTGGCAACGAACAGGGATGTGCAGAGGGAATAAAACAATGTTTATTACAAAGGCCTTGAAAGTAAATTGTTGAAGTCTTTATAATTTTCCAACCTGTTTAAAATGAATTTCCATTGCTGTCTTAGTTCTAATTACTGAAGATTAAAAAAACAAAAAACGAGTTACTTTGGACAAGCTTGTAAAGACCATTGAAGTTAAAGCCAAAAGCATTGCAACATGAGAAAATGTTCTTAGCTGTACATTAACACGTAAACACTGAAACAGCAGAGGTCAATATTTGCCAATCACATCAATATCTAGTATTATTCATGTTGATTGTAAGTAGCAAACAGAAAACGCAAGCAAGGCCTCACGCTTGTTTCAAAAATGGCATTTTGATTATTTTTATGGGAGGGATTAAAAAAAAAAACATGAATACAAAAATAATACAATACCAAGAAATACCAGCTGGGGGGTGGAGGAATGATATGTTGATATAAAACAGCACATCTGACAACCTAAGAACATTATTTTAAATGCCCTAGCAAAGTTTTGGGAGAAAAAAAATTAATTGGGTAAGCCCTGAATGAGTACTCAGAGATAATCTGCTCTGAATGAGGACTCAGACAAACAAAATCACTAGCAAGTGAATAAATTGTGACTAGTTATATATACAGAATATGTTTTTAAAATGTATGTACAAGTACATTTTGCTCTGAGACATTATTCCTAGAAAGTTATAAAACATATTTTAATATCAAATTTTTTAACTTTCAAGGAGCAATTAGTTGAACAAGCAGTCATCCAAATCAGTTGAAGTGCCATGCGGACAGAGTATAATTTTTATTTTTTAAATTGTGGATATCTTATGGCACAGTACAGCAAAATAGCCAAATGAATAATGCAGATTTTAATCATGTCATCACATTTTAAGGATTCTGCTCACTTATTTGGCAAGATTATTTCAAAATGAAAAATTTAAGAATAAAAATTAGGTAAATTATGTTTCATTCTTATTTTGATACTAAGCATATGGCCATCACAAAATCAAGAAATTTTTTATAGTAAAAATTCTTTAATGAAAATTCTGTGTGTCCGATACCTTCTGTTTTAGAGTAAAGAAAAAATTTTGTTTCAAACCTTCATTTATTTTCCTAAGGATGTATAATTAAATTTGTTTTCTTTAAATAAATACTATGGTTTACAAATAGATGTATTAAATGGATAAATAAAACATGTAATTTAAGTAATACAGTAGGATAGGGTGTATATTTTTTTTTGAGTAACCAAATACACAAAGTCTTTCAAGTGAAACGATGATTGTTAAATTCTATAACATAAAATTAAATGAAATATGTCCATTGTACAGACAGCACACATACAAATTTGTAGATAATTTTCAAAAATGAGTTAAAAAATTAATCAGAATGCTTTTGAAAAAAGAATATGCTTGATGTCTGAAGTTGAAATTGTTTGACATGGATTATTCTTGTAAGAAGGCACACAGGGCTAATTAAAAAAAAACACACAATTTTGTGACCATTTTGTCCCTGGGCTCAATTTATTAATTATATGTTAATCATACACGTTCATACAATTTATTTTGTTAAAGAGATACCTACAGTTTATTACAAAAATAGTGAGTGGAGAAAGTTGTCTTAGTATAAAGAAAAAAATTGTAACCACTAAATAATTCCTTTTCTCATTCTGTTTTTATTTTTGAATTGGTGGAAAAATAATAAAATAAAAGGTAAGAAGCATAAATATTTTTCTTTGTGCCCCATTTGATCTTGTAACTGCGTAACAGATGCATAAAACAATATCTGCAATGGTTTGGAAAGGAATATCTTGATTTCTCTTGTAATGAACACATTTTGGGTATATTAAGCAATCTGAAATGTTACAAATTTTAAAAATTACTTTTTTTAATTAGAAATAAAGATCAGTGAACATTTGATAATCTATTGTTTTACAGTGATATAGCTGTTATCAGGATCAAAAGATTGGCAGGAAAGTAGGTTGTGTATGCTATCTCACAACCTAAAAGACACATCACTAACCATATAAATCTGTAAATCATTGTTTATCAAAATGGTCTCAAAGATCAAAATTATGAACTTGAAATGGTATCATATTTCATAATTATGAACTGGAATATCAGACTGCTCCTTTTAGAATTCAGATAAAGAATATTTTGAATAAAATACATATATATTCAAATTTAGGATAAGAAGTCTAATTGGTAATTAAAAAGGTAGAATTGTATTATTCATAATAAATTTATTATAGTCTATGTCTTATTTTAAATAAATATAGAAAATCTTTTTTCTAAAAATATTTAAAATTAAAAAAAAACCAAAAAAAAAAAAACCTGTTAAAGAAGAGACCATAAGCTGAATAAAAATTTGGAATGAAAAAAAAAATAATTTATTATAGTCTATGTCTTATTTTAAAAAAATAAAAAAAATCTTTTTTCTAAAAATATTTAAAATTAAAAAAAAACCAAAAAAAAAAAAACCTGTTACAGCAGAGACCATAAGCTGAATA